CGGCACACTGTGCTCCACCGCGCACACCACTACCATGGCAAGGGCTGGCCCGAGTACTAGGAGAAGGAGAAGGAGGAGATCCTGTGGCAGAGGAGACCCACTGAGAGAATTGGAGAGCTGGGGGCACCTGAAATATGGGGGCTGCCACCAGAGGTTCCTGACCCCAATTCTGATGAGCATACACCGGTAGAAGGTGAAGAGGCAAAATCTAAGAGTAGTTCTTCGGATTCCAGCCCAGAAGAGGAAAAGAAGACAGAAGAAAAAACGTAAGGCATCCAAAAGAAAGCGCAGAAAACATTCTGAGGACAGCGACAGTGAGTCAGAGTCTGAGCAGAACTCCTGTGATGAAGATAAAAAGAAAAGCAAGAAGAGGAAAAAGAAGAGCAAGAAGAAGAAGAAGAAAAACTAGAAGAGCAGGAAGGAATCCAGCAATTCAAGTAGTGAAGATTCCAATGGTGAAACAGTTCAAGGGGATGATCTCTGGACTGAGAGATCAAAAAATACTGAAGCTGATAGCCTGATTGGACCAGAGGCTCCCAAAACTCATGTGTCTCAGGATGACAGGGGAAAACGTATTCCCCAGAGAGGCGAGATCGGCTTGACCAGTGAAGAGATCGCATCGTTTGAGAGCTCTGGTTATGTCATGAGAGGCATCAGACATCAGCGCATGGAAGCCTTGTGTCTGTGCAGAGAACTAGACCTACAGCGCAGATGAGAAGAGAGCCCTGGCCTCCTTCAACTCAAATGAAGTACTTTTCGCCCTGGGATCCAGAGAGGAGACTTGGCGGCTCTTTTCTCCTACCGAAGGGGAACTATGCCACCAAGACCCTCTCTGAGAAACCACCAGCGAGGAGTCAAACTTCATCAATTCTGTTAATCTCCAGCAGGCAGCAGCAAAGCCAGCCTTCCCAGAGCCAGTGTAAGCGGGGAAACGCACAGGGGGAAGAGACTGAGGTCCAAGAGAGCGGCATCTGATCTCCGTCCCCTTCCCAAGAGGAGCACAGCAGCCAGCCAAATGTGCTTCAAGACCCCTCAGCCTGCCCTGTTCATCCTCCATCAACGGACCCATCACCTCACACCCGTGTCAAGGGACACGCTGCAACACTGGCCATCTAACCTGCGGGCCCCGGAGGCCTTGGGCAGTGGGTCACCGTGCCCTGGCCCTCCCTGGGCTGCATACCTGAGAAGCAGGGGGTTCTCTCTGGTGAGAAGTGCGGGCTCACTCTCCCTTTAACAGCTCACACACAGCAGCTCGTCTGCAGTTCCAGTTACCCATCCAACATGGGCTAGAGGCTACAATAGGTATTTTAGTCTTCTGACTCAAGCGAGGATGTTTTTAAGCAGTCGTTGCACAAGGTCACCCATCTCCTGCGAGGGCCTGCTCCGTTCCGCCTCACCTCCGGGCGAGGGGAGAGCCACTGTCCCGCCGCGCGCCCGGAGTCCTCCTCGGGTGGGAACATGGGGCAGCCTGGCCCGGCAAGGCTGGGGGCGGTGGGGCAGGGCCTCCCGCCCGCAGGCAGAGATGTCTGGGACTCACACCTCGCAGATGATCACCGGGAAATCCACGTGAATGCGAGGGTGCTCTAGTTTCACTATGCCCTGAAAGAAGAGTCAGAGTGGTGATCAGAAAGGGACTGACATACAACACGCCCGAGCCCTGCCAGTCACCCCAGGACAGGGGACACTGTGCCCTAAAGTAACCACAGGGGCCAGGGTCCAAAAAGTGGCTGTGACACGTGGTAGGGCCTGAGAGCAGCAGGCAGAGCACAGGCACTCTGCCCTTCGAACTCGTCCCTGGAGAGCCCAGGGCAGCATGGCTGGCTGCCACACATGGCAGGGCGAGCAAGGAGGGAGCTGCTCTGCCAGGCACTGCCCGTGCAGCAGCTGGTGCGTGACTGGCAGATATCGGCCGTCCGTGCTTTTCATTCGGCACCTTCCATTCACGGGATTTAAAGGAATGAAAAGAGCTCTCTGAGGGAACGCAGCCGGGGCAGCTGGCACACAAGAAAAGCAGCTTTCTGTGCAGAGGGGAGGGGAGGCTACTGAATGAACGATCCCTCCACACCAGCCACAGGCACCGTTCCCACGGTCCGTTCAAGCCTTCTCCTGTTACAGCACCAGGAGGAGCCACTGGCAGGTGGGGGGCTGGGGGCAGAGGGGGGAGCAGGGGCTCAGGGCTGGGCCTGCACCCACAGAGCCAGAGCAAAGCCTGAGCTAGCAAAGGGCTCTTCAGTGCTGGTACCTGCTCTCTTTGGCTCAGACAACCTTTCCAACTGCATGACTTTCAACCCAGATCAATGAGAAGTCCGTCCCATGGCCCAAGACCGCCTCTGCAACAATGTCAGTCTGGGAAGCAGCACCAAATCCTTCCCTCCATAACTGCCAGTGCAGTGCTCAGAGAGGTCCCATCCTGTTGGGGGGCTGCCTGTGGGGGGAGGCAGCAGGCCCGCCGAGCCCCTAGAAGTTGACAGTCTTAAAATATTGGATGGTATTAGGCCGTTCCCATGAGAACAGTGAAGTTAATTAACCATTCACATAAACAGAGCAGCCTTGAGAATCAGGGAGTTGACTAGAAAGGAGATAAAACAGGATGGAATGTGCAAGGACGGAGATGTCGGCTGTGTTCACAACTGCAGGTGTTAGTTCTCTGGTGTTTTGTAGAAACTATGTTTACAGAAAGTGTGTGGGAAAGTCGGGGCTAGCTACCTTAATAAAGGAGGCTGCTGCACTTACGAAGCAGACAGCTCTCTAGACTACTCTGGTCTCAACTCTGTGTGTGTGTATGTCTGCTTTCTCTACTGACCAAACCTAACAATACCATAGACACCCCACGACAGCTGCCCACCCCTAAGGGCACACTGACAGGTCATCCCAAGGCTTGCTAGAGCCGTGCCTTTCTGCTTACTTACAAAAGACTCCTGCAGAGTGTCTCTCCAGCCCTGGTTTGATCTACCTTTTTCTCCATTTATGTCCCCAAAAGCTTCCCTACACACAGGCTATCCTGCCCCTGCACCAAGACCCTCTATTAGTGTCCTAGCCACTGCCCAGCACCACACCAGTTGCTTATTTTAAGAAAAGACTTTTGCACTGAGGTGCAAAACATGGAGCTGTCATAACTACTGAGCAGCTGGAGGGGATGTGCCCACTCACATCAGTGGGTGATGGGCTTTGGCTGCTGCTCCCCAAGGCAGGGCCTGGCCCTCTGCACTGACATGATATGGGCTGAGCCAGCACAGCAACCCACACCTCATGGAAGGTGCTTGGCAATGAGACACCATGGCCATGAAGGGCTGCCTGGCGCTCTGTGCCCCACAACACACACCAGGCTGAGCTATCTCCCCAGTCTGGCAGCTCTAAAAAGGCTCAGGCAACACTTCTCTCCGAAAAGGGCAGCTGGAGGGTGCCACCAGCCCTCCCTCTTCTGTCACAGCCTCACCAGGTGACAGGGGTGTGAGCCAGGACACACAGGAGTCATGGCTCTAAGGCAGCAACTGGGGGGAGGAGAAAGCCTCCACCTTCCCAAGATGCCCTGAGGGAGAAGCCTCCTGCAAAACCGGGACTTCAGCTGTCACCGTGGCGCTTCACCCTCGCTGCCCCCACCCTTCCCCACACCCCACCTGAGGTATCAGGTTCTTGTGGATCCTCTTCAGCTTGGCGCGCTTCCTCCCGTTCTTGGTGACGATTGTCTCCTCGTAGAACTCGTGAGCAAGATCCCCGTCCTCATCGTAGTACATGGAGCTGCCGGGAGGAGAGGGCAGGCGGGTGGGTGAGAGCCAGGCTGGGGAC